CCAAGGGCGTCCAAGGGCGTCCAAGGGCGTCCAAGGGCGTCCAAGGGGGTCCTGGTTTGTACATGCTTGTAAGCGATATGATCTCCGTTGTACCACTTGGCAAGGCAGAGTCCATGTATACACCCATAGTTTCCATCTAGAGCCTCTAGGGGATACCAACAAGCCCGGACGTCCCAATCAACTCACCTGATCTTCAGTCCAGCCGCCCTTCGTTCTTGGCAAATGTGGAGGATGCATCCTCAGACTCAACAGCTCGCAGGACACTCTCAGACTTCGGAAAATGCATGTCCAACCAACACAACCTGAAACTCCACAGCTGAACACCTTCTGTCGAAGGAAAGGGCTAGTCCTCGCAGCAGAACTATCTAGGCGTGAATAAGGTGGAACACTCTGCAGTTCAACAGCTTTGCAGAGCTCACTTGCGAGATCTTGAAGAAAGGCAAAGAATGCAAGCCTCCCAGACTTTCGGAAGTTCATGTCCTTCCCTGAATCGAAAGTTATTTCCAAACGGTGTGTCATATGGCAAATCTAAGTTGCATCAACATTGAAAGCCCAAGGCACATCTGATTGGGAATACTTGTTTTGGCCGGGGACATGCACATTGTAGCCGCCCTGCGGCAAGTGATCACCTCAGTGTGCGCGCCAGAGCGTCATTCCCACCCCATGATCGAGAAGTCATCTGATGCAAAGAAGGAGCCACACATATCCCGGTCAATCATGTCTCGCTCAACCTTCTTGTCAAGGTTGATGTCTTCCTGTGAGTTGAGTCTCTGTCAGTGACAGTGAGGCTCACACAAACCTCAAATTGGCCTAAAACATCCTAAGACCATCCGCTCCCACGGAAAACAGCCTGGGCGACCCTGTCACCTGGTACCATGACTCTTATTGACTGGCCCTGAGTTAAGGCTATCAAGTGGGTTAAAGCCTCTGATCAAAGAAGCTACTAAGATCTACTAAGCGCAGCTTGCAGCATCGCTCTGAGTCTGGGACTCGCAGTGCAATTCGTTTCTTTATACGATCCAAATCACCTGAAGTGAGAAAGCGATCAGGCGCTTTACAGACTTGGATCATTAAGGACTCAATGACATGACTGATCAAGGAGTGTCATCTGCCAAGTGGCGTCGCAAGCTCTGTCGTTCATTCGCCTCACCATGCATTCATCATGACTCTCCAAGACCAACCAAAGCTGTTTCAACTGCACAGCCCATCGCTCCACCAGGAAGATGGAACAATGATGAACAATGGCCGATGCTGCATGGCTTTTGACGAAGTTTGGCCTTTCAGGCGCCTTATTGAATACTGGCGACACTTCTATCATCTTCTGCCCTTCAGCCCAATCCCGACCCCACCGAACCAGCATGCGCGTCGCCAAATCCCGCCAAATCCCCAGGCCACCATGGCCTCCCCCGGATTGCTTGCAGAGGTATCCAGGGATCCCAGAAAAACGACCTAACCGGCCTTCTGAAGCTCTGAATCCAACTGCTGCGTCAAGGTGGTCTTCTCCTCCAACTCGCGCTTGGCCGCTTGGATCTGGGCACGAAGGCCCTGGCCGCGGCCGTTGCGGCGCGCCGTGGCGTTGCGGCGCGCCGTTTCGGGGTGGGTTCGGGGGGGTGGAGGAGGTTCCTGGAAAAGCGGCCTTGAGGTCATTGAGTGAGACTTTGGGGCGGCAAAATTGCTGGAAATTGATATAACTTGGTTGGGTACATTATATCCCATTACCAGTAACAGCAGGATGATGATTGGGTTGCGGACCTTTCTCCAAGATGATCTGAAAAACCCACTGGACCCTGGCAATGGGCTACACCCGACTGTCCAATAGGTTCCATTGCAAAACGCGTTGGACGTGCGAAATCCGAGTTCGTGGCTAGACTCGCCCCGCCTCTGCTGTGGTTGCAACAGCCATGGCAGGAACAGCTGTCCTTCGCCCGAGAGATCCCACGAGTTCGGTGCCGTCGGCGCCAATCAATGAAATGGATGGCAATGACGTGATCCTAAGGAGATCTGTCTGTATTGCCAGGTTGATGTTTGAAATGGCACACAGATCATCACAGATCCATCTTCGAGCCGACACAGCGGAAACTTGCAGCATCGAGCGGGCTGAATGATCTAGTGGGTGTCAGCTACAGCATCCATCAGCATCCTATAGCTGACAACAAGAATCTCACGCAAGTGGTGATTCAATCGGTCCTCACCTCAACGGCAAATCCCCTCTCTTCCCCGAAAAAATGAAGAGAACACAAACATTCACATACCGATCATTTGTATGTCTGACAGGTGATGTCTCCATTGGGGCCACCCAGATCGGAGATGCTCAGACCGGCTTGGTCCCTGACCGGCTCCCGGCTTCGCCGCTTCATTCCAAAGCTGTCGGAGGTCGCCGTGGAAACCCACACCTGCCGTGGGTTTCACGCTCCGTGCCAGCCCAACGTGGAGGTGGGTCTCTAAAATGAAGACCCCATTTTGGAGTGGATGTTTATCGATATATTCGAGTGCAATCGAGGGGAATCATTGAGGTAACTTGGAGGTATTCAGATAGGTATTCAATCGCCTGGTACCCCACAGTGTTTGGAAGAGAAGCCTGGCTCAGTGTGTGAACTGAGCCGATGAATGCGATGAGCCCAAAGGTGTTTCATACTTGGGAGCCACACGGTTTCGCACTGCGTTGTACCAGTCCTGGGCTATGCAGCGAGAAAAAAGACAGGCTGGAACAGCCAAGGGCATGCAGCTTTGCATATATATATATATATAGACTACTGTATGTATAATGCGAGAAAACATCAAGACAGCAACGATTTAGGACCCCCTTGCTGCTTGTGTTGCTTCTGTTCTTCCAGTTTTCCCCACAGCAGCGAGCGAAATCGCCGAGATGGAGCAGAAAAGGAGCTTGGGATCCCATCCGCTCACAATTCCCTCTCCTGTGGTGTTCCGATCCTCGCCAGCCCTGCGCCCCCCCCCTCTCCTCCTTGGAGAGGTGTCCCTGGCCCAGTGGGTCCAAAGCGACCTTCCACGCAATGGCCTCGGTCCGCGGAGAAACGGCCGGTGTCTCCGGTGGGAACCCTAGAGGTTCCAACAGGGACTAAGATGGGACCAAGGGGAGGGGGAAAAAGGATGTGGCACCACATCCTGCTATTCCAAAATCAACCCTAGACCCTACTGTAGCTGTCAAACATGTCGTGCTGGGTGTCAGATGTCCAAGACACTCATCCTGTGTTTCTCATGAGATGCTCACAGGGTCTTGGGCGGCGGAGTGTCTTTCCTGAGTGTGGGGCCAAGTTCTTGTATTTCTTGGTCAGCATCGCCTGCGGTCTGTGTCCCAGAACAGCTCATCCTGAAATTCTGCGCAGTCTTTGGTGGAACAGACTGCGGCAGACTGCCCGCAAAAAGGATTCACCACTGGAATCACACTTACAGTATCTTACAGTCTTGTAATCTGTTTTTCACCTGACAAGCCCCCGTAACCAGCAGGCCCAACAGCGCCCACAAGCCCCAGCGCCTTCAGAGTCTTGAGAGTCTCGCAGCCCACATCAGCTTCATTCTCCTGCCGCTGGAAGGCAAGCCAGCAACAAGAAATGTTAGGTACACCAACATGGTGTCTTGGATGGTTTCGGAAACCAACCAGCTGAAACTGGTGTAAACCAAACCAGCCCCAAAAGTCCGCTCTACGAGTCAACCGATTCATCCCACCTGTTTGGTTCGCTCAGCCATCTCAGTCCGACTGATCTTGCTCTGCGCCTAGGGAGTCCGGTCGAAATGGATTCGGCGTTCGGATTTGAGAGGGAAGGGATGGGGTATGGGGTGGGAAGGGATGGAGCTTTGGCTTGTTCTAAAGCTACAGCTTCGAGCTGAGGTCATACTAGCCCTTCCTACATGTTGAGTCGTCCTGATCAAAGTCTTGCCACGGAAATCTCAGGTGCGGGCGCGCGTCCATTTCACTGAGAACATGTTGTCCTGCATTCGGGAGCATCACGCAGCAACAAGAACAACGTTGAACGAGGCTCTCCACAACAGGTGCAAACACATGTTGCCAAGAGACCCCTACCTTCAGTACACACCCTGTATATATATATATATATCCCTCCACGTCCATTTTTCCTTATCTAAGTGATCCGTCACGGGAAAACACCCGTCATCCGTGTCATCCAATCAGATCCTGCCGCTCTTCGAAGCTCATCTCGAGCGGGTTGGTCTTTTCATACTTCTGCGCCTGGCAACGACTCTGCGGGGCCCTGCGGGGTGAGAGGAGTCACATCTCACCCGTCAGCGTGGTCTTGTTTCTTCCAAGACTTGGTTCACTAGACACCCGACATGAAACAATGAGGCTGGAGTTGCAAAAGAGCCGACAGAAAACTTGTAATTCATGAATCAAACCATCTTCCCACGTCCCTCTTCAGCGTCTTCGACCCGTGCCTCCACGATCATGTCAGTGTCCATACGCGCGTAGGCCTGGTACGCAGCCAGGTCGAACCTCAGCTAGCTAGCAACAAGTGCATCGCTACTAGTAACATCTAGTAACAAGTGCCGAGCTTTGACCAGGCCATCAAGCTGCTTCTAAGACCGCCCATGGGCCACACTTTGAGAAAACCGATCAAAGATATGGAGTCCAAGGATCACCCAGGATCAGGGACAAGATCTCCTGGAGATGGACTAAGGCTTACTAAGGATCCGGCTCTCTCAGTGACATCTTCTTGTATTGCTTCTGCTTCAAAGGGTCATCCTGCAGCGAGCCGCTCAAGTTGCAGGACCAGGACCTTTCTCTTCGGTCCAAGATGCCATCCAAAATGCCCACAAACCCTCGTCACCCCAAAATTAGAGGCCGAACACCAAAGAAGCGCCACTCCATTGCGGACTTATTCTTTGCCACCGCAGTCCCTTCACCTCCAATCTAGCCAACATCCATGGTGCGCCAGGGAAACGCACGGAGCACCCGGGACTTGGGCCGTCGGGCCAGCAGGTCGTGGAAGAGCTGCACCTGGTCGATGAGAGGGCTCAGACAAGGCACTCCAACAGCACCCCCTGGAGTGAAAAGGAACATCGCCTTCCTTTCGGTTCCCTGTTAGTAAGTCAGAGTGTAAACTCCTGGTGAAAAAAGGTACTCACACCAAAATGATCCAGAACTGACGTGTGTTGTGGGTGTTAGACATGAGTTCACATGTCTCGTGCGGGTCCGCAAACTCCTAAACTGGCCCTTGGCCGGATACCACTGTACACATCTTGAGGTAAGGCCCGCAAGGGCGGCATGAGACCTTCGGTGTGGATATATCTATTTTTTTTTAAGAGAGAGAGAGAGAGAGAGACAGAGAGTTACAGTAATAAGTCATGTCAGCTGCGGAGAAACTCCAACAAAAACAAAATGTAATAAAATGTATCACAGTCATAGCCTGCATATGGTGGATTCACTTGACATGTTTTGTCCGGATTCGAATTCAGCCAGTTTGAGACGCTCCAGTCACACACCGAGCGAGTCGCTGGAGATTCGGTGGGGCGGCAAAACGGATTCAAGCCCCTGAGAGATGGACGATAATCACCCCAGGAATTCTCGAGGCGTCCACTTTGACGCATGGATCTGGAAAGGGAGCTAGCTGGCGAGCATTTCACCTCATCTGTTTTGGCTCCGAGGTGCCAGATCGCCCTCCACACCCTCTTCAGTACACCTCAGAGGCTTCGAACTCCAAAGCCAGGAGCTTTGCAGAGCTTGGTGTTTTCACAAGTAGCGTGGGCAACTGCTGGCGGAGATCAGACGATGCCATACCCAATGAGGGTGGGTGTTCAAAGTCCTACACCCAAGGGTGTCTGCACAGTGTCCGTTATTCTCAGACAAAGCCAAGGCCAGTCCGATCGGTTTCTGTGGTGGCAAAGCACTTCCCATCTAAGTGAAGGTCATGACCAGTGACCCAGTGCACCAAAAGACACTCTGAAACCAACTTCAGCTGCTATCTCTCACGTCCGGCTGCAGAGCTGAGTTCATCTTCTGGGTTCCCAGCTGCTTCACAAATGCAGCCTGCAAAGCTTCTCCAGATTTAACCCTTACATCCATGGATGGTTACATATCCATTCCCCCGCATCCCCTTGAAGCATGTTTGATGTGAAAAGTCGTTGCAGCGCAAAAGAATGCACCAAAAAGCTGTGGTGTCTACTTAAATATAACCCATCTATCATGTCTATCTGTGGTCCCCAACAGGTCCTCCTTCAAGCTATAGCAAATGGTAAGTTCTGACAAACCCGGGTCTACATCTCACCATCATTCGTGCACCAGATGCACTCCGCCACCAAGCTCATATGGTGAGGTGCTATGGTATGTCATGCTGTGACATGGTGTGTCCCAAAAGAATTTTGGTGCACAGTAGACCAAGGACCGAACCAAAAAAACACAGAGAGAAAAACATGTTGTCAACAAAGATCCGCAAAGAATGTACGAAAAATACATGTAATCACGAATCCATCCATGCCGACGGGACTTATTCTATCTGGATTGCTACTATAAGTTACTATAACTGTATGAGACAAATGGTATGCGTAAATATTATATATATACCTACTTGGCACTCCACCTGGCACTTCAACTGGACCCTTTGGTTCACCTACCAATTCAGTTCTGACTTGGCGTCCCTCTCTTCGTGGGGTGCGAGGCCTCGTCAATCAGGCTGCGGCCGTTGGGATCAAAGGCCGTCTGCCTCGGTCGGCGGTTCCCACGGGTCGGCCGAGATCGCCGTCCGAACAGCCGTCCGAAAGGTGGGGCGGGTTGGGTCGGTCCTTCAGAACCAGGTTGAGTCCTTCAGAACCAGGTGAGGATGTTCCTTTTTGGACCAGAAGGCATGAGGTACAGAAGGCTCTCTTGGATGGTCCACTGTTTCGACCGAAACCGGTCTGAGGGCCAAACCACGCATTGAGCATGTTTCCGTACCTGAAGCATCTTCCCAGGGAAGCGAAAGCTCGCCCGTTCAGCGTTGGCCCTACAGCGGGGTCCACTTGGAGCCAACTGCTCTTCCCAGGTTTGTCCGCCTTATGTCAAATATAGCGTACGTAATGTGTGTGTACGTCGTGTGTACACATGGATTCTCATCACAAAAACACGAAAAACACGCATCGCCAACCTTGCTTTTTACACTTGCTGAATCTTCCTTGCGCACTTGTCGCAAAGGGTGTTGTGGAAGCCTTCCATCCTCAGGTAGCAAAACTACTGTGGCTTTTGAAGGGTAGCAGCAACACTTATCTATATACTGCCAACGAAGGGTATATCATAGAAGGTTCAGTAGACCTTCGGCAAACGAGCAAGCAAAAGCAGGTGAACGTTCGTTTTTTTCACTGCGAATCAGCCAAAACCAAAGAGTGGTCGCCCGTTTCCGTGAACCAATGTTGAGATTGAGACAAAGAGCACCTTGAACCCAAAGTTCTATTGTACAACGTATCCAAGGCGCAGCTCATCGGACTTCCGGTCCAAGTGCCGGAGTCGCAGCACGCCGTCGCGCTCCGCGCCCAGGGCGATCCAACATTCCTGGCGCCCCATCCGAGCGACCAGAAACGAAACCGAAAAAAGGCTTGAAAGAAGTGGAGAACAGGTAAGAGAGCTGTTGTTTGGCCAAGTTTCTGGCGATACTGAGATGGTTTACCAAATTGGGGTGGAAGGGAGATCCCTTCATGGGTAATGGTCAAAGCTCTTTGAGTCAGACATATTAGACGTGTCCGGCCTTTAGGGCTTTGACAATAATTATGCAACATAAGTTAGTTGTCAGAAGGCAGATGGTGAGTGAAGATATTCTGGTGCCACATGCGCGAAGCTTCAAGAATATCTTGAATAAAACATGTGCGAGATCGACCAAAAGCCGCACCAAAGTCAGCCACAAGTCATCTACCTAAGTGCACCTTCATATCCCCAAGGAAGCCGATATTGCGCATTCGGTCACAGAACTCCTGCAGGCCAGCATTGGATCCAAGAGACACAGAACTCCACAAGATTTTTGAGGCCACCTCAATGTGACAGGCCCAATTGCATTCTCAAACACTCAAACATGTTCATGTGCCTCCAAACACGGCCCCATCGTAACGTACCGAAACGCATATATATATATATACATATAATCATGTATATACAGTAATATACAGGAGCCAACTGATTTGTTGAACCCCTCTCCTGGAATCCAATCTTGCCCGAGTCAAAGGGATCGAACACCTCGCGAGACGTGAAGGCTGCTTTTTGATCTCTGTCAACAAGCTTCGCCCTACCAAACTGTTGGGACCTGGTCAAGGGCCTTCATTGTGGCGTCAAAACCCTGACTGCTCCAGGATTTTGGCGTAAATCTGTGCCTCGTTCCAGGCTTTCCGCAGCGATCCGTACTTGAGCCCGAGCTGGAGCCTCAGGTCTGACTGAGGAATGCGGCCACAAAAGATGCCGAGAATCCACTGAATCCACGAGATGTCCGGGGGTATGATTTTTAACCACATCTTGCATTGCATTGGAGAATCCTTGTGAGGGAAGCCTTGTTTTGCATTGGTGCTCGAACTCTTGGCTGCAGGCAGCAACTCGTCTTTGTTCATCATGCCCACGTCAGCATCTTGGATACAGCAAGTCTGCTCACAAGGAAAATTGGTGGCTGCTAGTGAACATAGAGCTGGATCGTAACGATGATATGCAGGAAAGTGTCAGGACAAATTATTGCAAAAAAACTGGAAAAATGTGAATGACTAGCCATTCTTGCCATATCGCGCACAGCATTACAAGGTGTGACGGCATTACTCGGCATTCTTGGACATATCAACAGTGTCGAAACCTTCTCAACTTGGGCACAGACTGATCTTTTCTTCTTCCCGAATCGAACGGTCCATCACCTGAACAATGACTTGCTGGTCCCGCAGCTTCCAGCTCTCAACACATATCAAAGTCCGTCCCAAAAAACGAACTAGACCTCGTTGGGCCAGATATCTGAGCCCTCTCCCGCAATGGATACGCACGGAAAATGGCTGCAGTATCCAATCACCAGCTACATCTCCATCGTACTGCACATGGCCAACGAAGTTCCGCGTTTTTCTCGCGCCTGAACCTTCGAGCAGCTCCGGATATAGTCCGAGTTCCGCGTGGGGGTCGCCACATCCCAGCGCTCTTCACCTCCATCCACCCTGCGAGTGAAAAAAAGAGAGGTTCGACCGACCGAGGTCAGATCGACCGACGTTCAGGACGTCACTGGGTCCGATGTCCGGCGTAAATAATAGCTTCTTGCTCCGTTCGTAGCGATGCCCTTTGTTCCTAGTGGCTTCTTGCTCCGTTCGTAGCGATGCCAGGAGCTACTAGTAGCGTCCTTGCTCCTACGTTCTGGGGAAGGGTGGAGAAGCGCCTTCTGAAATGTTCTGAATGGCCAATTACAAATAGACTTGCCAGAGGAAAAACTACAAAATCATTGTGCTGGTGTATTTCCTCAATCCAATGCCACCTGGATGCAACCACGACAAACCCACGGCCCAGGCTCCAGCTGACGTTCATACGAGAACAAACCAAAAACTCTAGTTTGCCCGAACATATTCACGTAGCATTAGCCCACGGTAGTACAGGAGTCTCTCTAATAGTACGGATCCCGAGACACATCTGAAGCTGCTTGGATATCTAAGGAAGGATCATCGAAAGGAAAAAAACATAGTACTGTAAGTGCTCAGCCCTTCGTATCTCATGCACCCTCCTCTGACATTCTTTTGCAAGCTTTCGAGATGAATGTGGACTACACTTGCAAGCATTGCTTGTAATGCTTTTGTATTCCCGTTTTGGTGGGCTGCTTCACAGCACACGTGGTCTGAGTAGCCCCCAGAATCAAACTGTTAGCCGCCAATCCCGGCCTGAGTGAGCGCGCTTTGCTGCCTGCGGTGCGAAAAGCAACACCAGTGTGTTGGCACATCGATTGAACAGTAGTGGCCTCAACAGGTATTCACACCTCTCGGAAGCCCTCTCAGAAGCACATCGAGCGCAGCCAAGCTGACTAAAAGAGGTGGAGTGAGTAGCCTTCCAAATTTCAAGGACTGTGACTTCCACAAAAACATGGGGTTCGACTCTTAAAGTGAATCATGGATGGAAAAAGTGGGATGAATCTCCCCGTCCATCAACTTAGACCCCCATCACTGTGACAGGACTCAGTCGCCATCTGCCGCCCAGTGGCAAGGCCGTGACATGGGAGAGACGTCTTCATCAAGGTCAAGGCTGGAGAGCTTCAAGGTGTGCGCCTTGCTGCCTGGCGATGGCGACGCACCTAGGAATGATGGGCCTTGGGAAAACTGGGAGGACTTGAGTAGAGATGTTCAGTTGCTTGGAGGTAGTGCGTTCGGCGAGTTGGGAATGATCTCGATCAAAATGATTTGTTGCCATTAAGAAGGTTCATGATCTATTTCCAAGTTAGTGATGCCAAAATGTGGTCTCTGTCCGACCAAGATCCGAGATCGCCTTCAAAGCCTCCGACTCCCAGGATGACAGGACCGGGCCCCGTACGGCCCCGTACTACCGCCCCGGCTCGACCCGGTCTACAACCGCCTGGACGGGAAGGTGACCGGGACGGTGATCGCGGCGGGGAGAGCGTCTCATCGGGTGGCAAGGTTTTGATGGACCTGGCCACGGATGCGAATCTTTCGGTGCATTGTGAGGCTTGGTCCGCGCAAAAGAAAGAAACATCAAGAAACACGCACAACACACCAAGACCATAAGCCACGTCCGACAAAAGCAAGAACGCAAGGCAGACCCCTCCATCAAGTCGAAATCACCATCCTGAGAAGTGCTGATTGCACAAAAGGTAGCAGAATAGGAGCAACGGCAGTTTTTCTCCAAATCCGACTGTCTCAAATTGGGCGTCTAAGTTCTATTTCTATATACCCAGAGTGTTTTTGGTTTCCTCATATTGAGACACCTTGAAAAAAGTCAACTCAAATCGTTGTGTGAGTGATTTTGACTGTACGTATTCCCACGCAGCAGGATCGTCAGCAACCGCAGTGCAAAAGACTGGACACCAGTCACAATAGATCAAACCACCGCGGTCAAGACTAGCACAAGCAAAGTGCCAATTCAAGCGTCTAAGACATCATGGCTATGAGGTTCCCCTATGAACCAAATTAGAGGGGAACACAAACTTATATAAGCCCAAACACGCTTAGACTTAGACCAAACCCGAAAGGGACACGGGAAGTCCAAAAGAATCCAAAGCAGGGGACACTACACCCAGGCCCAAACATCTTCGAGCACATGGTACCCTCAATAAAGCACCATCAACAAGTTGAGGTAAGCATCTTTCCGCCTAAACGAGCCGACGAGCCATTGAAGGATTTGTTCGATGCAAAACCGATCTGGTGAGTCATTTGCCCCTCACGCAGTCTCATGCAGCAAGTGAAAAGGAGGACACCGGGATGACCCAGCAAGCGCAGACTGCAAAGATACAATCACGACCAAGCGTTCATCACGGAGGCTCCCATTTGCGCATTGACTTCTCCTCCACCGTGGAAATCATCAAACACACAGTCGGCAAAGAGCTCCTGGTGGGTGCCTTCCTTGACATGCTTGGCACAAATCTTCTTCGCTTCTTCAGTACATGGTGCGTGGCTCCGAATGGAAGCTCCAAGCTGCAGCTTTGCATTCAAAAAAATGCTGCTGCAGCTTCACTGCCACCGGATGTGACCCTGGAGCCTCATGTCATAGCCAGTGTCCGTCTTCATATCGATGGCACTCAGGTCGGAAGAAAACGGTACCCATTCTTGGTGTCAGAAGAAGCTCCCAACTCACCACCCACATAGTCCAGCTCGCTTTTCCGGTACACCAGGCTTGCAACTGGCATGGAGCATCGCCACCTCTTGCCCTGATCTGACTTCATACTCGAGTTCAGTTCCGAGGAGGTCATGTTCAGCTCGCATCCTTCACATCAAAAGTGGCGGATTTCTCTGTTCCAGACAAGAGCCCAAATACCATTTGCCATCCACTCCTCTCTGTCTTGGCCTCCACTTGCAGTCCACGGCTTGCATTTCCAAGGTCTGCAGAATGCTTATCCACGAGCAGCAGGTCCTTGCATTATGCCACGAAGTTGCTCTGCTTCAACAAGGTCTAGAAGGCACCCCCAAGTGTGTAAATGCGCAAGTACCCACAAGCACCTCGGGTTACAGTGGTGATTATTGCTGTCGTTGGGTTGCCGCAATAGCACAAAGGCTCCTGATGGCCTCAAGCGTTTGCATCGCAGTTGACTTGATCAGCACTGGCTCCGCTGAAGAAGTAGCCTCCCTCGACGTTACGGTTGTTGGCTCTAAAAGGGGGCCCTGCATAAGCTCTTTCGTGTTGAAATTACAATGTCCCAAATGCTGTTCACGATGTTCTGCATCTTCTCTGGGCTGTTAACCTTGGCCATCTCCTCTTTGTTACAACCAGCTTCAGACTGCATTGCAAAACGGCTCCTGAATCCCCGATGGCCAAGGACAACAGCGCGATCCACAAAAGCTGCATGGCAAAGCGATCTAGCTGATTCTAGCTTGCAGCTTGTGAGCCAGGTTGAGCCATTGAAGGTATATACATTCCAAGAAGCTAGGAGTCCTTCATATCGACCCATATGTTTCGCGCCGTTTCACCGATGTGACCCCGTTCCCCATCTCTTCGACGATGGTGCGAAACATCCTAAAACATGGAGCTGAAACGCAGCTGAGGGCGAGGCAATTCCTCCGAAGGTGTCCGCCTTTGATCTGTGGTTCGCTGGACTGAGAAGGCCTGCTGAGAGCGACGAAGACCTCGTTCACGCGGCGCCACGGCGGCGAAGGAGTTCCCTCCGGTGTCCTTGTGCCATTCGTAGACGGGTCTAGCTCACAAACCTAGTAGGAAGTCCAAGAAATCTGTGGCGATGTTGAGATCTTCTTGAGACAACCTCTGGAGATGCAAAAACAAAAGTATGTGCAGCGAAACCTTGTGGTTCTGATTGGAACCTGCAGTGCAGAATACGATTTCGCATTGATATGGTGTACAAGAATAGTAAACCGAATCTTGTCCAGCAATCACAAAGACCTCCTGTCCTACCACCAACCTATGCTCGGTCTCTTTGTTTCGTGTGCTTCCCATCAGCCGTCCCGCTCAGCAACCGGGCATCGGCGAGCTGGGCGCCGTCTTCAGCCGTGATCGGGTCTGCTTCAGGTCTGGGCCAAAGATGGGAGTGTGAAGAGGGTGAGTCAATTTGGGAAGTTTGTTCCAGGAATCTTGGATGTGACCTCTATGAAAGCATATGAAACCTATGACCTTGACTTAGTCAATCGATAGCATCTGGTGAAGACCGGGCGGATATCATCGGCTCAACAAGCCTCATAGGGGTGACCCTATGAATCTCATAGAGGTTTGATCAACACCCTAGCAATGGTCATAGCCTGGGGCAACGTCTTCCCCAAAAAATCAGGGCTCTATGGTTGCTGGTTGCGATGATTGGGGTTCGATGGTTGAAGAACACTACCAGTCAGTCTACCTTCATCGCCAACCTGATCTGCAGCTGTCGCTTCTCCAGGCTACCCCGCTGTGGCTGGTGTTGCACCGTGACATGATCAGCGGAGACAATGGCGCCTGCAGACCGATCGCAGAACCCGAAGGACTTCCGGAGAATCTCGGATCTCCATCTCAAAACACCCCAAAAGACATCAATTTCTCCAAATCTTCTCCAGATGATGTCAATGTCCCGGATGATGATCTCCATCTCAATGTTCTTCCAAAGACCCACTCCCGAGCCACGTGTTTGTTGCGCCTTCGGCTTGGGTGCTGCGGTGGCCTGGCACAGACCACTGCGGCGGCTGACCCAGTGCCACGTCGTGCCGTCTCTCTCCCGCCTTGCGGCCACCTCCATAGCTGATGGCTTCGGCACATGGATCAGCCTGGCAAACAGCTTGGGTCAAGAGTCCAAAGCCCTTGATTTCCGTGGAAGAAGGACCTTGGAAGAGTAAGACAAGAGTTTGTAACTCTTGAAGAGAGTTTCGTGTCTGAAAAAAAAAAAGGAAACACTAATTGTAAACTGTGTAGACTATACGTATCTATACGTGCACTTTTCTCGCTTCACACTGGCTTTCCCTCCCGTTCCTCGAAACTATACGGGCCCCGACCCGGTAGACTGCTTCACCCGTCTGTGGGTCAAAGTCTTCGAGCTTCAGCTCCCGACCTCGGGAACGGCACGGACTCACACGTCTTTGACCCAATACGGTAGTGGAACGGATAGATATGGTACGGATAGTGGGTGACTGGCTCAAACAGCCCAGTGTGATACTATTGAACTTGAAAGGAACCAGCACGAATATCTGATGTTATCCTTGGGTGTTGATCGCACACCATTCGCTTTGTCTTTGCCCCGCGAAGCTTTTCGCTGAAAAAAGAAAACAAAGCCCCTCGAGCAGCCAACGGAGGGAGGCTTCCTTTTGTGCTGCTGTTGTGGCAAGGTCAGGTCAGGATTCTCTGCGGAGTCTGCTGAACACAATTCAAGTTCCTCAAAAACTTTGTAGAACCTCTAAAGCTGACCCAACCAAAGGATCGGCCCAAACAAAGAACGCTTCATGATTCTGGGTGCCTTAAATGGTGAATTGATAATTATCTTCTATATCAATATCATCTATTCCACTGTCAAGCGCACGAATGCCCCTTTACTGATTTTGCTTGTGTATGTGTGTCCAATTGTTCTCGATTGTCCTTCTTCTCCTCCTTCTTCTTCTTATCGCTTGATGGGGTGAGTGATTTCATGGAAACCTTCCAAAAGAACGCTTCTGACCCCCCCGTGGCCATGTCCACTCCACAGCAAAAGCTATGGATCCCAACGGCTCCAGTCCGTGCGGAGGAGCTTAAACAGCCGCCGGGCGTCGCCTCAATTCCACGAGGTACGCCGTTCCGCGCCGTTCCGTGCGGTCGCCTGTGGCAGGACGTCGGGTCAGTCGCTGGGTGTCCCGCCGACAAAGCCCAACTCCTGTGTTCACACAGAGCGAACTCCCAATGTCTGTCAACTCCGGGGCTTGCTTCAGAAAGACTGGACATGGAAGGAGGCTAAGAAGGTACCAAGGTACAGTATGTCCTGGGTCATCGAGACTTTCTTAAGGGATCTACTTGAGACATCCTTTGACATCCTTGCACCTCGTGCTCCAGGTGGACAGCCGAAGATGGAGTTCTTGGAATGAATTTCCGGAGTGGACCTGGTCTCTCGAGCCGGGACTGGTTGACCCTGGTCTCAACGGCGACCTGCCAGCGGTCCTGGCAGCGCGAGATGAAAACCGTCTCGGGCACTCCAGGCTTGTTTTCGAGGTTGAAACCTCGGAGATCATCCAAGTCGGCAAAAAGAAAGATTAGATAAATGCATTCAATGGACATGCTGGTGTACTGAAAATCTCTGGTGCAAGCACCATGACAACCACTCAACCAAGTTTTGGGGCCATGGCCATGGTGCCAAGCATTCAGCATATTCCCGTGCTTGTCCATACACAGAGCCCTGAAGTCCTCTAGCTCTTGAAATGCCTGGCCAAAGCCAAGTTCAGAAAGTTTAGGGACAAAGAAAATCATTATTGTCAAAGTAAGTGGTTCCTCTACAGAAAGCTAAGGAGTCTAGCGGCCCTAGCAAGTGCCCTTCCATCATCTCTCATCAGCCTTGGGATCAATCTCTTTCAAAGAGATGAAGCCACACTTATCTGTATCAAGCTCGCCCCAGAGCCTCAGACCAGAGAGAAGACTTTCTCTCCAGAACAATGCTTCGTGGTGAATTCACCCATTTTGGTGCACCATCAAGGAACACCTGGACTTGGGACTGCCAGAACAGCTCCATGAACGAGGCTTGCGTGAATCCGAATGGAAGAGTTTGGTCGAAATATTCAAGACTCTCATATGTTTGTTCTGATGAAAGCATAAACACATATATATGTATTATATTATGTTATATTATATTATATTATACTATATTATATTATATTATATCATATATATGGGAGTTGATCTAAATTCCTTTATCCGGGATCCGTCATTTTCGCCAAAAAAATTTACTTTCGCCAAACTTTCGCCTTCCTGCGTTTTATCTTTCGCCGAAGTACATTGTATTTATGTGTGCCATGTCTGTTGTGTTTTGTTCACGTCAATGGCTTCTTCTTTACTGGCAAACACAAAATAGAAACTTCACTGTTTGTCAGCATGTGTCTTCTACTTAACTGTTGACACCCAGTACGTCTCTTATCAAAATTGCAAGAATCACTGTAGTAGCCGGTCACTCAAACTTACTCATAATGGGCTGGGGGTCAGATGTGGCAGGGTGAACTTTCGCCAATCTTGAGCTGAACTTTCGCCAAACTTTCGCCTTTTGCGGGGTAGACTTTTGTGGCAAAGCCACCCCAAAGCAGGAGCAGGAATAGTAGTAGTAGTAGTAGTAGTAGTAGTGGTAGTGGTAGTGGTAGTGGTAGTGGTAGTGGTAGTGGTAGTGGTCGTGGTCGTGGTCGTGGTCGTGGTCGTGGTCGTGGTCGTGGTCGTGGT